TAAAAAATATTTTCTGGAAAATATTTTCTACTCTCCAATCAAACATGAGAAAATAAGTTAGAAATAGACTTATTTTCCGAAAAAAACATTTTTTATGGAATACATTTTCCTTCATACCAAACACACCCCAAATGTCAAGCATTAATAAAGGAAGACGAACATATGTGCCTGGACGTTGTACGATCCAAAATAATTGAATTCTCTTTAACTAGCACTCAACTCCCTATAAACTTAAATTGCTAATTATTTTAATTTATAATATATATTTTTATATAGCTTTTACATATATAAATTTTAATCTATAAAAAAATGAAATTTATATTTGAATTCACACTAAAAATTCCCCTTACCCACATCTTATCACTTGAAACGAAACTGAAGAAATAAGAAAATAAGTATAGGTAGTTACATGACAACAATGTGAACTTAGTAATCCAAAAAATATAAAGTAATAATCAACTAAAATGTCCTTAGTGGATAATTTGGTTTATAAATGTTCTGGTTGTCAACAGTTTTGTCTAAAGTGGTCAATAGTTTTGTCAAAAAATGTATGTAATGTTATTAATAGGTCAATATATATATATTTTAAAATAAATTTATTATTTTTTCTTTTTAAATAACTTCTTTTCCTAATGATGGTTTTTTATTTTAAGTATAAAATAGTTATCTTGCTTTAATTTAAAATATATTAAGAAATACTTTTTTACTAATTTATTAAAAAATATCATAGTCTAAATAAAAAGAAATGATGGGGTCACTATGAGAGCATAGAATAATTACTGTGAGAGCATTCTGATTAAAAAATATTGTTTTAGAAAAACTCTATTCTTGTTTCTTTTCTTTTAAAAAGAACACTCTAATGATTAAATAAGTAAGAAATATTTTTTTCTTTTTAATCACATTTTAACAATTAATACATAATAACTCTATGTACTTTTTTAACTAACAATAAGGTATATATATAAAAGCATAGTAACCCCGTCATTAATTTATATTTTGATAATGAAAAAAAAAATTCTAATAAAAAAGAAAATATTTTATTTCTTGAATATTTTCCGATTGAAGTGGATAAACATTTTATAATTAAAAAAATCATCATTAGGAAATGATTGTGATTAAAGAAAAAATATATATTTATTTAGAAGTAATTTTTGACTCATTAAGTAACAATAATAGTATTCTTAGACCAAAATATTGATTATAATGGCATTTTTGCATCAAATTATCAACCGAGAGTATTTTTATTCATTTCACATAGTCTAAAGATATTTTTAATCCTCCATAATATCAATATTAATATGAGGCTAGAAGCAGACATCTCTTTATCGCTTAATCTATTTTATGTCAAGAGTATTTTTTGAAATTTCATTTAAATGGTCAAATAAGTGAAACTTAACATGTATAAGACGTTGACCTAGCTAGATATTTATCAAATAAAATGATGTGTTTTTTTTTTTAAAAAAAAAAAAACTTACCAAAAAAATATGTCTCGTGAATTGATCACAAAGAAAAGGTACATAATTAATGCCACTTATAGTATGATTTGTTGGACTTGGGTTTTGCATCTAGATATACAACAAAGTGTGCAGCGTAGTACTCTGTCTTCCCAAGGCAACTCGAAGCTTCTCTTTAACTGGTAGAAGAAAGTTTACACCTTGCGTTTGGGGATTAAGTCACATTATTAATTATTAGTTAATCTAACAAATAGTCATATATTTTTATATTAAGTAATAATTTAATTTTTAAATATCTATTTTTTTATTAATGAAGTAATTTATAATCATACAAATATTTATCATTTATTTTAAATTACAATTTTTAAAGTATTTTTTCTTTTTTTTTTTAAGTTCGTATCAAAGCAAAATAACTCAAATAAAATAGAACTGAGACAATAATTATTAATTAATAAATAAACTGAACATCCCATGAAAGAAGATTTTCAGTCAAACCAAAATCACGCCCTCCAGGAAATTACACCCAATGACCTTGTAAATGAATTAAATTGAACTTTTAACTCTCGTTTTTTATCCATGAGTAAGGTCTAAAATTAAAACTCGTTAAGGTTGAAGATTTATCTATGAAATAAACTGAATGAAAATAATCGTGACCAAATTAAGTGACACTAATCATATAAAATTATTTATACACTCTCTCTCTTATGCACATTACTAAACTTGTTTAACAGATGAAATATAATTAAGGTATATTTTTTTTATTAGAGGTTAAATCGATAATCAGAAGAAGAATTAGGCTAAAAGCATATAGCTTAAAAATGTTTTTATTCTTACGTCCTACTTTCTCTTCCCACCTGTTCTTCTATCAGTATATGAATGAATTTAAGTTGTATACACATAAAAACTTCATTAGTACTAATATAGTTAATATCAGGTCAGTTGTCATGTTTATCAAGTTATTAGGCAATGCTTATCACAAATATTTCCTCCAAGAGTTTAATTATCATCTGCAGCATGACACTTCATTGTGTAAGATATTTAATTAGGACCTATTCTTCATAAGTATTTATTCTTTTTAAAAAATATATATATATTTCGGCATTTGACCATTAAAATTTCAAATTTAGGAAACACCCAAAAATTATGTTTTTATTTTTTCACTTTTACTTGTATTTTTTCTTTTTCAAATTCTACACTAAATTTTTTATTTTATAAAAATGACCCCATTTTAATAAGTATATTTTATGTTGAAACCAAATTTCATGCTTTTTTAAGAATAAAACATTCAAACAATATCAAAATATGGTGATAGTATGCATTAGCTCATATATGAGATGCTTCCTCTATTTCATATTACTTGATTATTTTTCTTTTTATACGTACGTAGAATAAGAAATTATAAATAGACAAATATATCTTCGAACTATTATAAATGATATGCAGATACCCTCTGTCATATTTTTGGGACATTGATGCCTCTGCCGTAAAAAACTAGAACATATATACCCTTTATACTAACGGACATACACGTGTCATAATCTTATCCACCGACCTGATGGATAAAATTACACCACGTGTCCATATTTAGTCTTCCATTAGAGTGAAGGGTATATATGCTCTAATTTTTGGACGGCGGGACACCAATGTCCCAAAAGTATGACGTAAGATATCTGCATACCATTTACGATAATTCGGGGTATATTTGTCCTTTGTCCCAATCATAAAATAGAAAATAACTTTACTAATTCACTCCTAAAAAACCTATTGAGAATTTTACTAACAATGTAAATGTAAACACTTTAAAAAAGAACTAATTCCAAGAGTAATATAGAAAACATTTAAGTTAATATTTTTTTGATTTAGCAAGATGAACAACTAATGTGGAATACCTATTTTTTAATAAGATGATCAATTAATATAGAACAGAGAGGATAATATGACATCATGTGACTCTTACTATGAGACACAGAGAGACAGTACTCTTTTAGAGCACATTTGTATGTTTAAGATATAAATTAGTCAAGTTGATAATTTAATTTGCTAGTTTTTTGTTAATTTGGGTGCAAACCATATTTCGAAAGACCAAATTAAAATTCTAAATATTTTTGACAAAAAACATGATCAAGCACAACTCTCACTTCAACATAAAATATTTCAAATAAAATAAATAATGTAGTTGATAATTATGGTCCACTGCCGACTTTATAGTGTACAAAACTTAAACCCGATAACTTCTCTTCACTTACCAGTGCACAAGAAAATTATACCGTTTGTTCATTTTTAGAAATACTTATTTTTTTTTAATATGATCACATATTATTAATATGTAAATAAAAATAACAAAAAAAGTATTATATGATAACTTAAACTCTAAATTGATTATACGAGTTTGTTTAAGATTTTATTTGATTGTAAAGAATAAGAAGGATATATTGTTTCACCGCTTTAATGTCCTCTTTATTATCACATCGTTCTCCATCAACACCATCAAAGCAATTTGAGACAATCATCAAGTAACTTTTTACTCTCTTTTTCTTCTTTTTAAAATCTAGACTGATTAATCTCATAAAATAACTATTCATAACTTATTAAGTTTTCTTCTCAACCTAGTTTTTTTTTTGGACATGTGCTTCTATTGCTTTAGACTATATTTTCTCTTTTTTGTTCATTCAATCAACAATATAAAAATTAATTGAAAACAAACTTTAATTGATGAACATTCTTTCAAAAAAATAAATCTTAGATCTATAAAACATGTTTTAAAAAATATAAATAAAAATAAAAAGAAAAAGAGAAACTGAAAAATCATTAATCTTTAAATATAAAATTATAATAATAAAATTTTTAAAAATAAGTATTTTTAAAAATGAACTAGGGTGTAATTTTCTTGTCTACTGTAGTGATGTAATTTTCTTGTCTACTTTAGTAGAGAGAAGTTAATCTCACAAATATATAGGGAGAGATTATTAAATACTCCTATTATACATTGTCAGTGCATTTCCATACCAACAAATCATCCTTTATCTATTAGAGCATGTCAGTATCTTAATTTTTGAAAGATGGAGTAAACCATTTTCTAATAAAGATCGCTTTGTCTTTAACGAGATATGAATTTGACATAACGAAAAGATATTCATTAGTCCATCACAATCTTTATGATAAGTAAAATTTAAAAAGTTTTCCTTAATTTGTTAAATATTGGTGTCAATCAAACTTAAGAAGCACAGAATGAGAGATAGGGCCCAAAAGTAAACATGAGGTGGGAATAAAGTGATTAAATGAAGGAGAAAGAAGCAAGCAGCATCGAGCTCAGAACCAACCATAAAGCCAATTCAAAGTGTTGCTTAGAGTAGAAAAACCTAGGAATAATTGAGGAAACCAATATTGCACACATTCTCATGCGGCCACAAAATATACTAGTAACAAAAGGAATTAGGAGTTTACATTGTAATTAGGAATTCCAATAAAACAACAAAAGTACATGGATGGAATTGAAATAACACAATCAGTTTTGTTTCTCTACAAAATGAAGAGTGAGTTAATTAATTAAGGTCTTGGGGGTGGAAAGAATTGGGGCATGAAAGGGGAAAGATTAGGTGGATATGGATCAAACATAGCATTAATGGAAACCTGTTGGTGGAGGTGTGCAGAAGAAGAAGAAGAAGTCTCTCCTCCAGCTGGACCTTGGTCATAAAGCATTCCTTTGAAAATGTGTCCTCCAATACTCACTGATGTTTGATATGCATATTGTTCTTGTGCATTATCATCTACAGCACTGATCACTTTCACGCACCGGAATACTGCTGGACAACTCACTTCTGCACCAACAATAATCACATGAAATACCCCTACACTACATATATGGAATGTGTACTATTTTGATTTTGAACAATTAATAAAATGATACCTGAGGGTAAACGAGGTGCAGCCATATTGTGATCTCTTGGCCTTTTAGACTGACTAGTAAATTGTTGTTCACGCCTTGCAGCCGCAGGAACCCAAGTACTTTTAACGTGTGTTTGACACTGTAAACCTCTACCTCTACAACAAGTTCGACATCTCGAATGTGAACAATCTTTCTTAGCTTGATTTCCACAATCTTGACAATTATTGATCATAATCCCTCCACCTAATTCATCTCTATCTCTACCATCTCCCCTCATCATTATCACCCTAAACCCTAATTAATCAACAATAAATAATTACCTACAAAGTTGCTACTATTACTACTAGGGGGACCCAAACACTTAGAAAAATCCACATCTCAAACCCTTATTCTTGTACATCCATCTCCTTCAACTCCAACAAATTACTGGAAAAACAAGACATTATTCTTCTACTCCTACAACCTATATCTAACCTCAATTTTGGCTGCATATCCATTGCCAAAATTAAACAACACCCTATACCTATCCTAATTTTTCTACTGACTAATTACTGCCGGCCGGACCCGTGTTTTCTTTGCTTTGCAGCTTTATACGACGGAATTTCTTAGCGTATCCCCTCTCTCCTCTTTCACTTCACTTGGATTCTTTGTCGTCGATTCACTTTTGCTGCATTAAATTTATAGCTCTGTGACGCCGCCATGCCCACTGCTAACACCTTTCATCTGCTGCAATTTAACACTACTTTCTTTCCTCTCTCTCACCTCTTTCTCTTTTATTGTGCAAACTATACATGAACCAACCATAAAGGACCACATAAGAGAACAATATTTCTCCACTATCTATCTTTAGGTCAAATCAAGTATGATACTTCCTTGGTTTCTAATTACTTTCCATTTCTGAATTAACATATCTATTAAGAAAATAATAATTGATATAGTGAGTTTATTATTTTACCTCTATTAATTGTGAATTGAATGAATTAAAAACTTAAGATTTCATTTTTTAAAGTAATTAATTGAGAATATAATAGGAAATTTTTTTTTTATCCTATATTGATTTGTCAAAATGAACAAATAATTAGGAACAACTAAAAAAGGAAATATGAACAAGTAATTAAAGACAAAGGAAGTATGATGGAAAAGAAAACTCTAGGATAGAAATTGTCAAACTTTGTTCTAATTTAATGATCCATAAAACACACTAATTTATTGCCTTACTTAGGGGTGTTTACGGGTTGGTTTGGATCGGTTATTGGTCAAAACCAAAACCAAACCAATTTAATCGATTTTAAAATTATCAAAACCAAACCAAACCAAATATAATATACATTTATCGATTTGGTGATTATCGATTTCGATTTGGTTTGGTTCGGTTATTCGGTTATTAACCATACACAAAAATAAAAGAAACAATTCATTTAAAATGTGAAAAAAGTGACAACAATCCATTCTAAACGAAAAATAGTTAGAATGACTTAAATTACTGAACTTTTAATCACTAAATTTACTATCAATAAAACTTTAAAATTCACTATATTGGCTTAGAAGGAAGAAACAATAACATTTTCAGTCCCACAAAGAATTGTTATAGACACTCATATACATGAAATCAATAAGATAAATGTTTCATCTTGGACATTTTTGCTTTCAATAAGTAAATTATAAAGAAATTTTAATGAAAATATGTATAAGATCTTTAAAATTGTTTATAAAAATAATATATTAAGTATGTATATTAATAAAATATATGTATATAATTCATCGGTTCGGTTCGGTTATTTCTTCATTTTTTTCCGAATAAAATCATAACCAAACCAAATACTGTCGATTTTCAAAAATCTAAAACCAAACCAAACCAAACCCAAATAAAATCATTTTATTTTATCGATTTGGTTTGATTTTTCGGTTTGGATCGGTTTTTATCCAAACCGTGAACACCCCTAGCCTTACTATATGAATCTATATATGGTTAGGGGCTGCTTGGTTACTGATTAAAAATATGCAGATATTAATTATGTAAAAAAAATTATGCATGTATTAGTTAGACGAGTATTAGTTATGTAGATTTTGTTTAGGTAGGATTTAGTTTTGTAGAACTTATAAGACATAATTATTGTTTATTCAATATTTAATTTGTTGTCTTATATATATTATTTACTAATAATAAGTAAACAAATTAGACTGACTCGATCGTTTTTTGTCAATGTTCAATATAACATTAAGAAAACATGTAATTAATACTCATATCCATATAATTTAAACTAATTAATGACTCGATTAGTTGTAGGTGGAAAGACTTCCAACTCCTCTTTAAAAAAAATGAAGTAAACAAATAATATATGTTTAAAAGTACACATAATTAAAAAAATAAAATTGGAAGTACTTTTTTTAGACTGTATCATTTACATTTTTAAAAAAATTAAAGGTTGGAGCTAAATGCCCATTTATTCAAACACTCAAACAAAAAATGTACAACAGTTTGGTCCAAAAATCTGCCCCAAGACAGAAGAAAACAAAGACAGAACCCAAAAAAAAATAAAAGGAAGAAAAACAAGAATATATTTTAAAGTAAATTGATACTCCCTCCGTTCTATTTTATGTGATCGTTTGATTCTTCACGGAGTTTAATAAAAAAATGAAGACTTTTAAAACTTATGGTTTAAAATGAATGATAAAAAATTGTGTGGCTATAAATCATTTCATTAAGGGTAAAATGAACATTTTAAAGTTAAATTGTTACTTAATATAAAAATGTGTCATTTTTTTTGGACTGACTAAAAATGAAACTAAGTCATATAAATTAGAACAGAAAGAGTAGGAGTAATATATAATTTTATTATTTTAAATCATATATAATTAAAATCTACGTGACGTATTCCATTTTCTATCCCGTATAAAATTATAGATAAATTTTTTCATGAGCTATGTAAGTATTAATTGTGTAGAATTACTAAAACACAACCAAATAACGCATAAAATTAATACATGAATAACTTTTGTACAACATTTGAAACCTACCAACCAAACATTGTATAAAATTAATACACAAATAACATTTATTCTATTAATAAACCAAATAATATAAAGGAGGTTGATGCAATAAACAACAATCACTACTAGAAATTAGGCCTACGGCAACGGATTTTTTAGCAACGCTAAAGAAACCGTTACTATAGAGGGTCTATTGCAACGGTTTGAGCTGTTGCCAAAAGGATTGGATATTATTGCTGCGGCTAAGCAAAAAATTTGTTGCCATTGTTTGGAAACCGTTGCAATAGACCTACATATTGCAACGGTTATGGAATCGTTGCCATAAAGTCATCTATGGCAACATTTAATGCGAATATTTTTCTATTGGAACGGTTATTAAATCCCTCCATAATTTCCCTCTCTTATTTTGGCTGAACCCGCCAAATGCTTTTCATTCTATTTTATTTTTAATTAATTTTGTAAATACAATTTACTTTTGTCTTTATCAGATATCGATACAAACAAGAAAAACATATGCTAAGTTCATTTCCCTTCTCTTCAACAAGCAGAACACAGAAAAGTTGTCACTCTTTTCTCTTTGACCCGATTTTTCATCCATTTGTGGAACTTAGCAGAAGCAGAACACAGAGCAGATCAATGGAAACATAAGTTGTGGAGCTTTGCAGGGATATTAATCTTATGGTAAGTTCTTCATGTCTGCCAATTTAGGGCAAACATAAACCCATTTTTTTCTTCGAAGCTAAACCCATTTCTCTCTTCATACCTCTTGTGAAATCTAATGAAATGGAGGGTTGTATGTTTTCTTGTGAAATCTAAGGAAATGGAGCTGTTCTTCTTCAACTAATGGAGGGTCTCTTCTTCAATCTTTGGTTATAGCTGAAGAAACTACAAGTTTGAGCTTTTGAGGTTTTCTTCTTGAATCTCTTCTTTTGTCTTTAATCTTTGGGTGTGGTGAGTGTATTTGATGTATTTCTCTGATTGTGGGTTTTTTCCATTAAGTTGTAGTTATTGTGGGTTTAATGTTTTGTTGGAGTAATGGTGAAATTGACTGCTTTAGACCATATTTAATTTGATATTGGTGATGTATTTCTTGTCCATGAGTTATTCAATCGGGTTTGAATACCCTGTATTGATGATGTCTTTATTGATTTGACCTCTCACTTGAGTAGGATGTCAAAAATTCACTTTCATTATTGTTGAAGATTTACATTAGAGCAACAGGAAACAAGAGATAAATTAACATGAAAATGGAATAAACTAAAATTTGCTACTGGTTGGTACTAAAATTTGTTACTGGTTCGAAAAGTGATCGTCTCTGCTAATCATCACCATCCAGAGCACTGCACCATCTACTCCAGCCAGCACTTCCTGCCTCCGACGAGTCTGCCATGGTCGCTTGAGCTATAGCCATGGCTGTAACTTGTAAGTGTTTCCCCTTTTTTTTCGCATTTCTCCGTTGGATTCTTTCCGGTTTAATGATGTATATAAGCTGTTGTGAAGTTCCATGGGTGGATAATTTCTTGGATATCATCATCATACTTCTGATTTTCCTCTTTTCTCCTTTACTGATTTCTTCTAATTGTTGAAGTACCTCTTCTTTTTGCTCCATTAAATTATCAAAAGTGCTATTGTTTGACATTATTTTAGGTCTATTTCCTGTTATAATAGAATGTAACCTGTGTTGTGACTTTTCTATAGTTGATCCTTCGTTGATTTCTTCTTGAAATGAACTTGTATCTGCTCATGATTTATAAAATAATTATTCACCTGATTATCTTGCTCTTGATTCTCAAATTTGGTACTTCCAGTTGTCCAAATTGAGAACTTTCCTCCCCTGTGATGGTAACTCTCGAAATGTATTATATAGTTTTCGTCCTTCCACCTCAAATGCATGATTAGCTAGATAGTAAGCTAATGAAGTCCCTTCCCTATATATGTGCTCAATGTTAATTGTCGCATCTTTCATGAGAACTAGAGTGTCTTCCACAATCATTTAATATGCCAAGGTATCTCTCATTTTCCTTGTAGTATAATTTTCAGATATCTCTTCTTCTTGTGCATAGATGAGGTTACATTCTTGATCTCTTAGGCAATAAGCATAAGAACTCTTGCCTAGATTACCTTTACTTGCACCATCTGTGTTACACTTGATGTTATTTGCATTTGGGGGCTTCCAATGATCCTCTTATAATAAATCTTTGTCTTGTAATCCTCTAAGAATTATACCATGTCTAACTTGGAAAAATTGTCATTGCAAATTGCCATACATTTAGAGTAACCTGATAA